CAGTGTTTTCAATTTTCACAGTGTGGCTAACAATTCCGTGCCATGAAAAAGGAAGCAGGTCGTTTTAGTCACAGTGGCCGTTGCCCCCATGTAGGCTGTTCCTCATCACTGTGTGTTCGGCAGAGCAACTTTGCAAGCAAACAGCCTTGTGTTGTAAAGAGCAGGCTTTTGCGATTGCTGAGTAGTCTGGACACACAGGCTGAGAAACTTCCCATACATTTGCTTGGGATTATTACTTGAGGATTATAATTTGACTTGATAATGATAATTCCCTGTTTCCTTTGAAAAGCAGGGAACCTGAACTTCGTTCTTAATGAAACATGGATCTTTAAAGGGCCTATCCGGCTACCTTTTGTATATTTATCCCTCACACAACCAAAATGTGATTTAGGCTGAACTCCACTTCCCTGGGAGTAAGCCTCACTGAATTCAACAGGGTTTGCCTGCGAGCAGACATAATGGGAATTGCACTGTTATGTTACAGTCCTGCACACTTGCCAGCAATCAAGTTTCAGTGAACTCAGTGGGAGTTACTTCTGAGGAGAAATGTGTAAGATGGGAGCACTGTCAAGAACTTTCCCTCTGTTTTATGTCTGGGGGATGAACCTGGAAAAGCATAAAAGGAAAGAGTAGATCACAAACTTGCATTCTGGAACTTGCATTCGGTGGGTGAGGGGGGATGCTTTCTGGAAGGCAAAAGCACAGCATATTGTGGAATAGATTATGGGGAAAGAAAGCACAGTTCACTCAAGAAAGAACTGATTTGCTGGATCAGGCTAAGGTCCACTGAAACAATACTTTTTCCCAACCTCCAGAAATGTCCAGCCATGTAGCCCTTGAATGATCTCAAGCAGGTAATGATCATGGTAGCGATTCCCTGGTGTTGACCCTAACATTTGGTAATTGGCCTCTAAACTTTTTGTAGGCATCTGAAGGCATCCCTGTTTCAGACAGCTTTTAATGTTTGATGTTGTTTTTAATTTTAATTACCTGAAAGCGGCTAAGGGCTGTGGTTAGCCTTAGAGTTCTTAAAAAAAAAAATCCAACAACTTTGCTGCCACTTACATTTATTTAAAATTCCTTTTCTTACATTTTATTTTTTTAAAAAAATTATAATATTTCATCCATAATCGCTAGTTCTCTTGCCATGTTAATGGGAGTGTCACTGGGACACCATGACTGGGATGCTTATTTCACCGGGTTAGTTAATTCCTACTATTAAAAGCACTGCATTGCAGGGTACCTGCATATTCTTGGCATTTGTGTTGATTGTTAAATCCTGCAAGGGAATAGTGTCCCCTGCATTGCACTTTGCTGGACCTGGCCTGAAACCTGAACATGCGGGACTTGAGAGAAGCTGCGGGGGATAGCCTCCTCTCAGAATATTTGCCAAGAATTCTCTGTTAGTGATAGATAGGCCTTTGAGCAGGTAAAGGGGTCCTTTCCCTTTTCCCTTTTAGGCCTTTGAGCATTCAGACAATTCCTGAAGGACCAGTGGGGGGACAGCAGCTGAAGGAAGAGCACCAGGGGCAACTCAGCACATTTCCCAGGCCCTACTCTCATTTGAAAGATCTCCCCAGGTTCCTGTTCCTCCTCCCTCCTTTAAGTTGGCCTAGCTATTAGCCATTTTCTAAGCCATAAATAACACTTGGGAACAGTTGCATTGAGCTTGGGGAGAAGTGGGAGACCAATGCAGGTTCAAGCAATGGGATATCCTCCCATATCCTCTCCTACCATGTTGGGCAGGTACGGTAGACACCTGACTCCTTGGGGTTTGGGGAAAGGACCACCTATTATTTGACAAAGAGGGCCTAGTAGTCAAGTAAGATGTGAGATCCAGCATGGTGTGGTGGTTAAGGTGCCAGTTTAAGACATGGGAGACCCAAGTTTGAATCCCCATTCAGTCAAGACTGTGGGCCTCAGCTGTATAGCATTGTTTTGAGGATAAAATTGGGGAGTGTGTGAGAAGAACATATCTAATCATCATGAGATTCACAGAGGAAATGTGGGATAGAAATGTAATTTATAATGAGATGTGGATTTATATTTGGAACTGGAAACTCTTATTTCTGCCCACCCAAAGGTTTAGTAGTTTTGTAGAAACAACAGAGGAGGAAACCTTTCTGTTTCCCTTTTGTTAATCTGCAGTATCTACTACTCCCTAACTTCTTCAGGCATTACAAAGAGGGCTCTGTAAAGTAAGTGTGTGTGTGTGTGTGTGTGTGTGTGAGAGAGAGAGAGAGAGAGAGAGAGAGAGAGAGAGAGAGAGGCAGCAGGGACAACCACTTTAATTCTGGCTTTCCCTGTTGCTGTTTATTTTCCCCGCCTTCCCACTTGTGGAAAGCAACTGTCTGTAGGGGGGAACCATTTATATTCATGGAGGCTCCCTGTGCCTTTCGAACCCCACAGAATCTAGGTTCTAAAAGGCACAGGGAGCCTCTACAAATATAAAAGGCTCCCAGCTGTGGACAGCTGCTTCCCACGAATTAGAAGTTGAGAAGTACAGTGACTGGGGGTGGGGTGGGAGGCAGAGCTAGTGTGCCATTTGTAATGGGCTCCTATTCTTAAAAACCACCAGTTTCCCAGTATTTACAAAGCATTGTCCTTTGTATATTATGAAGCAAAGCTATCCGTTGTAATTTTGAACGTGCGTCAATAAAGGAACCTGAACAAAAGCAAGTTTGTGCAGAAGAATGGCCTTGTTTTTCAAAGTGCATTTAAGGGGAGAAAATGATTGCGGTGGGCTCTCTTTGTACAGATCTGAAAGCTTCATGCAATGTCAAAATTAGTCTATCTTTTGCATAATGACATGTTTCTTGGCCGTTGTCTTGTTTCCTGAGAATATATTGGTGAAATCCAAATTTTGACCGTGAAGGGTGGGGGCAGATGTTTATACATAATCTCAGCTCTGAAGATATCCCGACTAAAGACGGAATGAATTGTGCATTACGGTACCAGATCATGGAGCCATATGATCTTGGCATTTCCCTGTTTGTAGCACTGCAAACCTTTTACCTTTCCTCCTGTCAGATTATAGTCCTGGAACCTGCTTTCAACATCTATGTCTCTGCTCTGAGTATATTCTGGGCTTGAGTTCTGTTGAGGAAGAAAAGGGCTGCACCATTGGCTCTTATCATCCTGTAGATGTGCCTTCAACTCCACTAAACCATGGATGATGTGGCGTGGTGAGCAGGAAGGTGGAATGACTGTTGGATTTGCAGCCTTTTAAATGTATCCAACATGGTATTAAAATAAATTTGGACATTGTTTCAGTTACAACAACAAAAAAATTGAAAGCTGTTATTTCTGGTGACAGCATCCGGCATCTTAGTAAGGTGTCAGCATTATTTACGAAGTACAGATATATAAATGTGAAGTGCTTCGACTTGAATGTTATTGCACTTGTATCTTTAATGAAACAGAACAGGATTTAGGAGACACATTAATGTGCATAAATATATTTAAAAGGCAATTAACAATTAAATTGTTTTTCTTTAAATGCATACCAATTGCAAATGGGAAATATTCCCTGCTTCTTTTTGTGGTTTATGTGCTTTGCCTTTGGCAGCAAGAATGCTTCTTTCTTCCTGGGAAGCTGCTGAGAAGGTCAAGGGCCTACCTTCCCAGTTAAAATGACTTGGATTGACTTGATACAGGCTCTTCCAGATGACCTGTTTATGGAGAAGTTGTCTTGATTTGATTGCACAAAGCTTACATAGGTGCTAGACTATATCCTGTCTTTCTTGAGCACTCATTCTGATTGGTTTATGGTGAGGTTGTATGGCAATGACTGTTCATCAGGATTTGCTCATGTGGTGGTTATACATCTTCCCTTTTGTTCATCTACACTTTTCAGTGCATTTCCATGTCACTTTACTAACTGCAAAAAGTAAATTTAAAATGAAGGACTAAACAAATAAGAGATTTGTCGTGCCAGGTTGACAGAGCGCTTTAATCTGCTAAATTTCCAGTACACACTTGATCCCTCCTGCAGAATATTTATTATGCTTTTATATTTGTCGGAAGCCACACAGAGTGGCTGGGGCAATCCCAGTCAGATGGGCAGGGTTGTTGTTGTTGTTGTTGTTGTTGTTGTTGAAAAATACCGACAAGTCTAGATGGAACCTCATTCTGGTAATAGATGGACATTTCTGGGATCCATTCAGAACAGGCTCACATCAAGTGACTTAATTTGAACTTGATTTGCCCTGGGTCCAAATTGAGATTGGATCAGAGTGGCCATTTTGCAAGTCAAGGCCCAGTAGCTTCCCCTCTTGTTGGGACTATGATTTGGAAACATCTGTTTGACTAGATTCGACCCCTATCGCTTACCCATTTACAAAGGACTTCAGAAGGGCCTGCTTGGCAAGGCCAGTGGCCCATCTAGTCCAGCCTACTGTTCTCACAGTGGCCAAACAGAAGCCTCTGAGAAGCCTGCAGGGAGGACTTGAGCACATGAACACACTCCCTTCCTGTATTTTCTGGCATTCAGAAGCATACTTCCTCCAACAGAATATAACCATCATGGTTAGTAGCCACTAATAGCTTCTTTCCTGAAGGGTTTCAATTTTGGGTTGTAGTCAAGTAGTCAAGATGGCCTTTCCCATTAGCACAGTGAGGACACACCCATTTTGAATAGGGGCAGGGTGCGCTGCCACAATACAGTGGTACCTCTGGTTGCGAACGGGATCTGTTCTGGAGGTCTGGCTGGATCCCGAGGTTTTCGCAACCCGAGGAGAAGCGGTAGACCGCTTCTGTGCATGTGCGCGCGGCGGTAGACCACTTCTGCGCATGTGCGTGTGGCAAAACACTTCCGGGTTGGCCACTTTCACAACCTGAAGTTTATGTTACCTGAGGGTAACGTAACCTGAGGTGCTACTGTATAAAATACAATATTAAAATTAGTTGACAAAATTAGAATCCGAAGAAGAGGGAAGGTGTATAGATAGATAGATAGATAGATAGATAGATAGATAGATAGATAGATATAGATATATCTTCCTCCTGTGGTGCAATGGGTCAGTGCCTCTGGCTCTTAACCAGAAGGTTGTTGGTTCGAGCCTACCCAGGTTAGGATTCCTACATTGCAGGGAGTTGGACTAGATGGATGACCCTCTGGGTACCTTCCAACTCTACAGTTCTATGATTCTACATATAATCAAGTGTCAAAGGCCAGGATCAAGAGTATATGATGAAAGTCATACCATGAAGGTGAGGAGGGAATTCCAAAGCTTCGGGGTGTCACAGGGAATGCAATCTCCAAAGCCAACAAATCCAACACATGCCAGAAGTGGGAAGACAGCAGCTCAGTGCATTTGGGTATGATATCAGACTTATTAGTTTTGCAGGGGGCTGAGCAAAAGACAGGAACTGAATTTGAAGTGAATTAGACAAATATTTAGTTTGATCTTGAGCAAACTTTTCATCATGCTGATCTGGTTTTCTGGGTTCTGCCTGCAGTTCTAGTTTGTGTTGGATAACTGTAGTCATTTTATTAGACTTCTGAGCTTCAGCTGTGCTCCTTTAACTCAGCTGGCTGGATCACAATTGGGGGCAAATTAACAGAAACATCCCCCCCCCCGGGTTTGAACATGTGGGGAGATGCCTTTGCTCATCTAAGACTGTTTTTGGTTCTTTTGAAGAATGATGATCAGGTGTCAAAGCCCAGCAACTCTTTGGATTTTTTCCCCTTCATATCTTCATGGCTTGTGGGTTGATGACTTGGCTAGGCCAGCACATTTTGAGGCTGCATGGGCTCTGAAGAACACAGGAGTGGCACTTGCCATTGGTCCAGGACTTGGAACTAAGGTGGCATCTGTCAGAGCTGGAAATGAGGCAGATTTCTTTTATTTGCTTCTTTTATTTATTAAATTAGTATACTGCCCTATACCCACAGATCCCAGGGAGGTTATAACATAAAATCACAATATAAAAACACAAAATACATAACAAGAACAGAGGCAACCCAGTAACCCACCCCTTCCCCAGTTGTGATTGAGACATCATCATCTCATCCCAAGAACCAGAAGCACCTACAGGTGGGAGATAGGCAATTCATTAGAATAGGGGTGAACCTCCTTGTAGAACTTTTAAGTTGTTGTGAAAGTTCTGGCTCTTGTTTGATTGGAGAAATGGTCTTCTCTCTTCTTCCTACTGCTCTGCATCAGCTTTATCAGTTCTATATTTCAGAAGATGCGGGACATAGAACTACATCGGGAGAGGAGACAGTATGTCATTTGTCATTTATTACACTAGAACAATGGGCTAGTATCACAATATTTTGAGTGATTCTTGCCACAGCTCCAGATCTTGTAGCCAAGGTGGAACCCACCTTTCAACCTTTGTTACCTTCTTCTTTTCAGAGTGAGTTCAATGCAGTCCTTTTTAAGCAAACAATTCTGTGAATGGTACCTGGTCACTAACTTTGCAAACAATATCATGGAGTTCCATGGGCAAAGGTGTTTGGATCACAGCAATTTAGTTATGTTATTCACTGTTCTTCAAACTCTCACCCCTGCTACATAGTTACCATGTAAGATGTTCTTACTTTAATTCTCTCATTAAAACTCTTTCCATACTTCTGGCCTCTGGGTTTTTATTCCCCAGGGGTATTTCCAAACTCTCACAGCTCATCCTCTAAATAGTTGTACAGTAATCATGCCAAATTAATTGCATGCTTCTTAAGCCAAGAACCTACTCTTAACATTGCATTGCAAAGCGGTATATGCCCAGTAGTGTTGTTGCCTAAGAAGTAATGGGAATAAACTGGATCATAAAACTTTCATTCGGTGTTTAATAATTTCTTCACATCCCTTCCATTTGTTTTGATAAAAATCCTTATAGACAGCTTTAGATGAAAGTGGAGACGGCAATTCTGTAAAATAATTTTCCATTTCCTTCTTAAAAAAAAAAAAAAAGAGAAGTCTGTCTCAGTCCATATTTTTTATGCTGCAGCTCCATCTAGCAATGATCACCGGAAATTCACAGAGTTTGGTTCAAATGTATATATGTAACTACAGGCCTGTGTGAAAGGACAGTGAAACATTAATCACATTCTAGATGGATATGACAGAAGGTGGATATGGAGGGGCAGGCATCTAAGATTATTAACAGTGTGAAAAAAGGGGCTGCTGATATATATATATATATATATATATATATATATATATATATAATCAACAGCCCACTGAAATTAGTGGAAAGAGAGTTTAAGAACTACAGAAAAGGCAGCAGAAAAGTACCTTATGGAGTGATTACCCTAGGGATTCCTGCAGTAACCTGAGTCTGAAAAAGATTGACCTGTGTCTGTTACTTGAGATAATCAGTGGATCACACAATACACGCCTCTGGTTATCCCTAAATATCCAAATGTAGAAGTGTGGGTGGAGGCAGAGAATGGATTCCAGCACAATACTTACTCCACCAGCCCTTTCTACATTCTGCCCCCCTTAAAAAAAAAGTTGTTTCAAACAAGGCAAATCTGTCATTTTTGTTTCCCTCAGTTTCTAATTTTTCCAGTGTTAAATCCAGTTCTCCGCATTTCCACATCAGCTTGTGTTTTTTTCTTTTAAAAGTCCTCATGATAATTCATCAGCATTTTAATATGACCTTCCCCTAACATACATAGGTTTGATTGCAGTTTCCCCTAATGCAAACACTTATATTTTGCCAAGCAGTTTTCCCTAATACGTCTTTTGTATGTATGTGTTTTAATGGACAAGTATATGTGTTTTTGTACACATCACATTGCAGAAGACATGCGTTGCAAAAATTCAGAGAAGTGCGAATGTTGAGAGTTGGCCCAAAATGGTTTCAGAACATGTGAAAAGTTCACCTATAGATGTGAACTGGATCCATTTCCCCTCCATCCCTGTTTCAAACTTTACAAGCCATTCTGTTCAGTGTAAATGTAGACATCTGTAAGCGTAAGTGATGGAAGTCAATGAAATTTTATTAATATCTTCATATTGAGATATTTGTAGAATAAATTTGGAAGAAATTCTTCCAACTTTTCTTCTTCTTTTCTCTCTCTATCTTTTCTTCTTCTTTTCTCTTTTGTTCTTTTTTATATATGTGTGATCTGAAATATATATGTATGTGTGTATTTGCTATATTTTGCTTATATTTTGTGATCATTATGTTAAATAAATTAATTTTAAAAAGTAAACATAGACATCTGAATGTCTGTCTTGTCCAAGTGTCCAGTGCCGGATGACATCTAGATGAAAGTTCTTAGGCAAGATTAAAACTTTCCTTCAGCATCTCAAAGGTGTGTGCTTCTGTAACCCAAATGGCTCTGATTACCTGCATGTAGCACAATGTGTGCATACCTTCACATTCTCTTCCAGGAAGAGGAGAAGAGTAAAGGGGTTGCAGTGCAAGTTCTTCAGGGGCTTAGGGATGCTTAGTAAAGAAGGCCACACTTTTAAATTGGGCTTCTTGCAGGTTGGCCAATATTTCCAGGATGCTTGACTAGACAGGCTTGATCTGGTAGGCTCTCCTTATGTCTCTCTCTCTGTGTGGATTTTAATAATGACAGGCAGGTACAGAAAAATAAAAACAAGGGGTTTGAAAAATAAAATTAATAATTAGTTGATAACAATTGTTAATAAAGAACTATAAGCTGCAGCTATGTGATTGACTAAGTCCATGATTAAACATACTAAGAGGAAAAGGATATGTATATAATTGCAAAGGGTTGCATGGTCTAAATCAAAACAATTACTAATTTTCTTGTTTCAAAAAAAGAATATAAAAAGTAACCTTGAACTGTAGTAAATCCAGACACTTACATAGACCTGTGGTAGCTGACACTCTTGAGCCACTGTGATTGTGTATAAAATAAAGTAAGGCCAGGTGGCAAAGAAGCAGAAACCTCAAGCATATTAGACCCCTGGACATTTTTAGCTTATGTGAGTTTATTGCAAGAAGGGCGATTTGCCTTATGTTATGTTTTTATGTCCTTAAAGCCTTTTGTTTCAACCAGTAGCAGATCCACCCCTCTTATTGCCTCACTACACTGCTGCAGCCCTTTTAATGCAAGAATGGGGAACCTTTCAGCCTCTAGATGTTGTTGGACTACAGCGCCTATTATCCCATGTGGCTTGAGACTGATGGGAGTTGGAGTACAGCATTTTGAGGGCCATGGGTTGCTTGATCGGTGACATATTTTATAGGGTGCTCCTCCTAAGTAGAAAAATGAAATGGTTAGGAAGGGCATTGTTGTTCGGAAGCAAGAGGATTGCCTATTGCTTGAAAATACCACATAAAGACAGAAATAAAAATGTCATTTTATATATAGCAAAGCAGGAGATATAGTTTTTACTTGATAGGTGGCATATAACTAGGAGTGGTATTATGAACAGAGAGGTTATATAACAGTAAAATGGAAGACTCAAGCAATGCTTTTGTTAGCTTTAGCTGAACATGAGCAGTACAAGTGATGGATCTGAAAACAAACAAAAACGAAATGTTAACATTTTCTAATTTAATTTTGAAATTCATAAATTCATTTTTTTTAGTTATGGTTTATCTTATTAAAAAGTTGTCTTCTAAACTCCCCCAGCCGGCTATAATACAATATCTTTGTAGTAATTTAATGTGATATTTGCAAAGCATCTGATGCATGAGGTGAATGTACAATGGAAGAGATTTGAAACAGCATGAACTCAGCCTCAGATTCGATACATAATGGCTTGGTGGCAACTGCAGGAGCCAAGCTGTTCTTATACTTTTGAAATTTCTGCCCCACCAACAGAATGGCTCCACATAGCATGTAGTGGCATTTGACTTTGGGTTAGAGCAGCGGTTCTCAACCTGTGGGCCCCCAGATGTTGTTGGACTACAACTCCCATCTTCCCTGACCACTGGTCATGCTGGCTAGGAATGATGGGACTTGTAGTCCAACAAATCTGGAGACCCACAGGTTGAGAAACACTGGGTTAGAGCAAAGGGACCCGATGTGGTGACCTCCAAATGTTGTAGACCACATTGGGACTAACAGTCTTAGCCAGTGTGGCCAATGGTCCTGAATGATGTGAGTTTTAGTCTGCAACATCTGGAAGGTACCATGTTGG